CTCTCTCTCTCTCTCTCTCTCTCTCTCTCTCTCTCTCTCTGTCATAAATCTTCTTACATAAATATTTGCTATTAGCAAAGTAAAAAATATATTAGCAAAATATGTCTTACAAAACAAATAACATTTAACATTTCTCTTTAATTTCATTACTCTAGTATAAATAACTTACTTTTCCACATTAATAACGAAACATGTTTTAAAGCAAAAGATGTACATATTGGTCAAGAGTGGATTTCTGTTAATCATTTGTAATTAATACACTTTCTGTTCCTTATTTCTTTAATATTATTACAAATCTTGCATGTATATAGAATATACTACCCAGATAGCACAGAGATGAACAGAAGTTCCTAAAAAATTCATTTTAAAGAATAGATATAGAACTAGAAAAATGTATACTCGAAGAATTCTTGAAGAATTAATCACAGCAAGTTCGTCTTGAAATATTCCTTAGGACTTCATTATAACTAATACTTCGCAACTTAATTTCTAGAATACTTTGAGAATTCGTGAGGAATTAGGGCTAAGGCAGAGAATGAGACGTAAGCGTCGTAATCGTAGACATAAAGTAAGACAGAGAAAAACGTAAACGTAAGACTAATAGCCTTTCATAACTTACATTTATGTTTTTCTCTGCCTTATTTTATGTCTACAACTACGATGCTTATGTCTCGTTCATCTGTCTTAGCCCTTACAAATGTTTTGTTTATAGCAACTACTTCTTGCGCCTTTATTCAGTACATGCTAGTGAGTGTATAATTAATTTTCATATTTACATATATTAATTTATTGTTATTCACAGTTATTTATATTTTGTGCAATTAATTATATAGTTTTATATAATACAGCAAAGAAAGGGAATTGGTTAAAATAATTTTTCATGAATAAAATTTTCATTTGTATCAATAATAAATAGATTTATGCGAAGTATATTTTATCCTTAAGTTTGTATTCATGTTTCTAAAATCCATATACAGTTCTAACAAACTCAATTGCATTATTTGAAAAACACTTATTCTTGGATTTGAATTACATATTTGAAAGTGCGCTTTACTTACATTTGAAGCTCAGTTAGAACAATATATACCCAGCGAAAAATGATTTGTTGATTGACGTCAAAATAACATCAAATAGACGTTGAAATCGTCAAACCGACGTCAATTTGATATCATTTCGAAGTCAATCGATGAATCATTTTTCACTAGGTATATAGATGTCACAAACATGAAATTTTAAATAGCTCAGTGGAAAGAGCGGTTATCTGGCAAGTGGAAGGAAGACCCGAGTTCGATCCCAGCCGATGTTTTTCATCTCATATGGCATTAAAAGTGGACATCTGCAAATACACACAAGCACCCCCGGCCAAAGTTTCTGATCTTTCTTTCGTGTGGATACAATAAAATTTATTAAATCCGAAGAAATCTTTTTGAGTTGAAGTGTTGTGCCCCAAGTGGAGAGGCACGTTGAGTAGGTTCGGGATCGGTTGGTCGAGAATGCAAAGGCGAAGAGATGTAGTTCAATAAATAAATTTAATGCACTTTTTGTGTGAACTTCCCGAGTTCTTATTAACTAATACAGATTGATGGTCGCGTAAGTTGCTATCGCAGGACCGGAGGAGCAATAACCTGTTTGGCGTTCTTCTCTGGTCCTTTTATAATCTATAATTAGGTCATAGGCGGGGGTGTTTAGACAACTGTAGAGTTGTTGCATTTAGTGCTGACCTGTCCCCAATATGTTATAATATATTTTCAAGGCGACGCTTAGCGTAGCACTTGCGTAATCATAATAATGTTGTAGCGCTGTCGAAGCGGTTTCTTACGAAACGTTTCGGCAACGCTAAAAATAATACTAACGATTATAACAGAAGTAATTCTATATGAATACTCTAAAAAGTTCTGAGGAACTCCAATCATGGTGCATGTAATTTCCTAAATCATTCTTATAGTATTCTTCCACGAATTCCTAAGGAAATATAATTCAGGAAAGAAGAAAACTTTAGGAACACTTAAAGAATTTATCGTGCTATCTGGGTATACGTGCAAATTATTTCATTATATTGTCCTAATAAAACTATTTACAAATTTGTGTAGCTGTTTTATATGTATGATCCACTTTTATATAATTAATAAATTTTTAATGAAGCAGTAAAACCACGAGAAAAGTGAGCGAGCGAGCGAGATAGAGTGAGTGAGTAAGAGAGACAGGCATATGACTCGCGAGATACAACGAAAACCTTGCTGTGAGCGCATAGCCTGTAGACCGAGCGAGAAAGAGACAATAGATGATACGTTCGCGCTTGTCTAACGCCCGAAGTCGCCTGAAGCACCGTTCGCTCACGGACACGGTCGCGTGAGTGTGTGTGCGTATCGCCTCCCGTGTTGCTCGCGTGCTGCTCGAGGTCCAAAGTTTCTGACACTGGCGTGCAGACGAGCAGTGTGTATGTGTAGCAGACACCTTCCTAGCCTACAAATTCGATGTTTTCGTGTATACGGTGTCCAAAAATTGCATTCATTTTATGCAAATTCTTTTCTTAATAACTTTTTAACAAACAACGAGCGATGGTTAAAACTTTCTGCACGTTACTCAAAAAAGTGACCTTGACAACATATGTCAAAGTGATTGAAATCTATGAGGTCGCCATTATCATGCATGATTACCTTAAATTTTAATTAAAATTATATTTTTCGTATTTTTCATGCAATGTCTCAAAAACGACATTACAAATATTATGATATACAATTGAGACATTGAAACGTCCCTGCAACATATCTGAAACTTTCTGTGCTATCAGGGCAATATTGGATTTTCAATAAAATTTTATTTATATCCACTATTGCCTGTACATTGGCGCAATGCCAATGCACCCTGTAGCAGGGTTTCTGAAGAGTCCACAGCGCCCTACTACCCTAAGCGCTCATACGGGGCGCTAAAGGATTGGCAGGCTTAATTAATTAATATCTCATTAATTGTCGGATCCAAAAATGGAAGAGAACCTACTTACCCTTAACGGGTGTTCTACCAGTTGTGGAGCACCCTCTATATTGGAATACATTAACCAATTCTATATTACATTATTCTACATTATTCTAATATATAACCAATATTGGTGCAAACATGGCTCCCCCTATTGGCGACCCATTTGTTGCTAATGTGGGCTATACATTGGCTCAATCCTGGCGCCCAATATTGGCTTTTTATTATATTTTTTGTTTATCCAATGCTGGCTGCACATTCGTGCAATCATGGCATGCAATATTGACAGTATATTTTTAGCCAATATTGGCTATATATTGGAATATATTGACCAATGTCATTTTAATATATAACCAATATTGGTGCAAGCATGGCCCCTCATATTGGCGATCCATTTGTTGCCAATATGGGCGATGTAATGGATATACATTGGCCAATGTAACCCCAATATACTACTGTGTCCAAAAAGTAAGGTGACATTGCATTTATTTCGAAAATTCTTTATTTATTCTGGCAAATCAATTTCGTCCCCTTCAAAGTAATCCCCCCCTGATATAATACACTTATTCCAACGGATTTTCCAATCTTCGAAACAGTTGTAATAATCGATTTCAGGAATGGCCTTTAGCTCCTTCTTCGCAGCGGCTAACTGTGTGACGATAATGCACCGTCACACACTGCGCTGATTATTCGTGATTTTTTAGCCAAAAACTCGACTAATATCGTTCCACAACCACCGTATTCACCTGATTTGGCTCCATGCGACTTCTGGCTCCGGGGACACCGTTTCGAGTCGATAGAAGAGATTCAAGCCGCTGCGAAGAAGGAGCTAAAGGCCATTCCTGAAATCGATTATTACAACTGTTTCGAAGATTGGAAAATCCGTTGGAATAAGTGTATTATATCAGGGGGGGATTACTTTGAAGGGGACGAAATTGATTTGCAAGAATAAATAAAGAATTTTCGAAATAAATGCAATGTCACCTTACTTTTTGGACACAGTAGTATACCAATATTACTAATGTAAAATCAATGTAATGTCAATAAAGTGTGCTATTAGGGAACGTTAGCTATATAATCCTGTAACCATGTATAATCGTGTGCGTATGTGAAATTAATCCTTCTTTAATACTGTTCAAACAGTCACACGTGCCACACGGTTGATCAGATCCAATCAAAACGAATATTTTGTCGTTTTTCAACTAATTTTTCAACTAACTTTATTAATTCTTATTACATGTGTATACTTTGCATACCCTTTTTCCCTTAATATAGCTTATAGTATATTCGCTTGTTTGCCAAGAAACTTATTAATGTATTACATATATTTTTTTTAATTGTCTCCACCGAAATCAACATCAAGGAAATCCATTACGCTCACTCGTACTTTGTCGGGAAAAATTCTAAAATTGAAACCATATATTCACATTATAGAATAGAAACATTAAAACAATGACGAATACATGTTTATATAAAACAGAATATTTTAGGCAATTTGTTATTAAAATTAAAAATTTTATTTGAGAACATCATGTATTATTAAATTAAATTTTGATTCGTTTATCCTTACCTTACAATTGTCATTAATAATAAGAAAAATGAAGGAAAACTCTTTTCTTTGTAATCTCTTCTCTGTGCATCGATTATTAAAGATGCTGCTTGTTGCGGTGAATAAGATGTAGAAATACTTGGAAATCTGTTGAGTATATAATATGACGTTATAATCATTTAAAAAGGAGAAATTAATACGAGCCGACGATGATGCAACATATTTCTGAATGAGCATTTCAACTTAATTTAATTTTTAATTAACGGTAAAATAAACAATAAAATTAATTGAATCATTTAACAACTACAAGCTATTACAAATTAAAAATATTATCTTTATTTTTCATGTGGATGTGACATTAAAAAATACTCTATTATGATAAACAATAATATTACTTTCATTAAATATATTAATATGTAAAATAAATAAATTATTTTAAAAACATCTTCTACTTGTTCTTGTGTGCAAATCATTCGTCACAATGTTATCATAACGAACTTACCTTACTCTGACATTTTTAGTCAAATTAGTGATCACCCAACTCGGAAAAATAGTAGACGTTTTAACAAGTGACTTTCCTTTATTGCACTGACGCAGTTCGTCAGTAATAGATTCCATCATCACTGTAACATATAAGATGTTTGAGACAATGTTTGTGTGCAAATATCAATGCAAATATCGTGCGTATCCTTAACTCTCCTCGACAGTTTTTGTAGGAATGTAGAATGGGTTGAAGTGAACATAAAAGTCCTACACCGATTTACAATATTCGCAGTAATAAACGAGAAATTAATTATAAAAAATTAAGAAAAAGTGCGCGCTGAATAGTAAAGGAGGAGCTGCAACACGGCGCAATAATATAGCGCACAGATGTCAGCGCGCGACAATTGGAAGAAAAAGCGCCTGTGCTTATATCACTGAGCTTCTACATCTTGCCGTACCGCGCCGAAGCATAGCAATATAAGCACAGGCGATGGCGTGTTGATTCTCGACTATTACTGCGAATATTGCAAATCAGTATTGAATTTTTATGTTCACCTCAAGCCGTTCCTACAAAAAATGCGAAGGAGAATCTGGCCCTGTTTATAAAACATGTTAAATTAAACAGAAAAATTTTCTATCATTTTACATGCAACCAAGAATCACGAGTGTGAAGTTGAATTGCGCTGCTCACTTCTTTCGCTCCGTTATTCTATCTCTTACTGCCAACTAATATTAATTATTGTTAGAAAATAGTCAATAAATCTAAGACATATCTTCTCAAGATACTTTATAATGTTTGTTTCACCATTGATTTGCTTTTTTTTTTAATAATATCTCAATAATTATCGTGTGCAAAATGATAAAGGTTTCTTTAATTTAATTTGACTTTGCATTTTTGTTTTTTTACCTGCATACAAGTATGCACATTGTGTTAGACATCTTGTATTAATATGCCAACTTATATGCAATACATGTAATACGGAATTAAGAATAAACAGTTT